ATCTGCTTATCTAATTGCTCTAGTGAAGATGTCATCGTAAATTATTGAGCAACAGCCACATATTCGAATGTAGTAATTTAAATACAAGAAAATATTTTATATTCTCTTGTAACCGCAATATATATGTATATTAAGGTTAAAAGTAATAACAGAATAGTATATTGCTATAAAAGTTTACGATGATTATGCATTTGTTCCATCTAAGTGGACAAATTTATGGTATAATGTCTGATAAGATACTGAAAAGTAAAACACGAATGCAGATTAACGGATTAAGATTAGATACGAGTTCAAACATTTAACCGCCACAATTTAAACATACTAAAGTATGTTAAAATATGCAAAATATATATGCACGGTCTTTTCTGCGTAGTATTCTGCGCTGTACTATATGATACTTGTTATAATTTATTGTGCCAATTATTATTTTGTCATAGGTATACATATAACGACACACGGTAATCTTCTTGTATTACAGCGGCATATAATGTTCGAGAAGTTTCGTATAAATATGTTTCTAAAAAACATATTTACCGAAAGATAAATTAAAGAAAATAAACAACTATTTTAATGATGATCTTTTAAGAAATTTTAAAAATCAAAATTTATAAAAATTTATTTAACATAAAAAAATATAAAAATTTATTTAACAAAAAAATATTTACGATATCGATAATCTAAAAAGATCGGGGGAAAGATTGTTGCGTCTCGCGAAATACCTTATATAGGTAGTTAGTGTCAAAGCTAATATACCCGGCGGTGCGAGTGTATCAAGGAAATCCGTTGAAACAATTATTGTCCATAATGATGATCGTGACAGCCATGTCCCAGTTGCGGTCTTTGCTCGCGGACGACGAGCGGTCTATTGTTCCTTTCGTTGGGAAGGTCTTACTTAAGGATATATCCTGTCATTTTTCTTTAACGATGGGCCGCGCGATTGGCAATCCAACACGCAAATACGCAAAAATAAGCGACTTTTATTAAATGCGACTAGTAAATAAATAATCCGATAGTCGGCATCTTCTTTTACTGCACATTTGTTATTAATAATTAATAATTAATTATTTTTGATTGTATATAATAATCAATAAGGAATTATACATAATTATATATAATAATTAATAATGAATTATATATTCATCATCTTTCTGAATATAATTTTAATGGATTCTTGTATAATATTTTATACATCAGTACATTTTTCTGCTTGTTATACATATATTGAAGTACAAACAAAATAAGTTTCGTGCTTGTGCTAATTACAATGTGTTTATATCACTAATTTCGACATCCGCACATATCTAGCTATGAATAATATGGGCGGATACACACAATTAATGTCCCGCCCATATTTAAAAAAAATATATATTTTATCTGTGTATTGTATTGAAAGAACTCTTATCTATTATCATAAACTGCTACAGCGTCCTCGAATAACTTTTTTTATCCACGATATCGCGGCGCAAATAGATATACGTGTATTTTTGTCATCTCGTATATATTTTGACTCCGTCATATCTTAATCTCATTTTGTGCTGATGATATGTAACCTACATTTCGCGAGTCCGCTCTCTTTCGTTCAATTTTGCCATTAGGTATACTCGCTCGCTTATTACTCAATCGAGAGTACTTGAAAAAAGAAATCATCGAGTTTATTCGTTCGACACCGATCGCTAATTTCTTCGCTCAATCAAAACTGAAAAACAGGTCAGAGATTTTAGCAAGAAAATTATCGAAGGACATTTTTCGCCCTTGTAAGTTTTTGTCCTCAATCGGTTCATAAAATGCGCGTCGATAAAAATTGTTGCTAATTTTGACAAAAAAACTCCGATATAATAGATATTAAATGCAAATTTTTCACGTTTCAATTTTTCTTATCAATAGATTAATGTAAATTTACGCGCTTTTATTTATATTTCGATCTACTACCTAATCGTGATTTGTTCCGTGTTTATTTTAGATCATAAAATACACTTTGTTATCTTGCAAAGCTAAAAAAGCTTAAATGCGAGCGTTTGTAAAAGTATTCTTCTAAATCGCGAGCAACAAGTGAAAGTATCCTTGTTACAAGAGATTCGAGATTCGAGATTCGAGATTCGTTGTTATTAAAGCTGCATCTAGCCGTAAAAGGATCGATTTACTTTAGATAGACGATCATAGTTATCTTTCATTAAAAGACGAAGTAGTTCTACGACAGCAAGAGATTAATCGCGTTTTGTTGGACGTGTAAATTTATTTCGTCACTCGATCGAGCGTTTTCGTTCGATGATCTCAATTCGATGATCTTAGTTCGGGACTTTCATAAAAGATTAGATTCTTACGTGTTTTCCAATTATGAATAAAATTAATTAATTAAATCTAATTATAGTTAGAGTTTTGCCATTTATATATAAAGCAACGAAAAACCGTGGGAACTAATTTTGCAATGTTTTTCATTATGTACAAATTGCAATTTCTTTAAATTCTGAGAATATTTAAGATAATTAATTTTGAAAATGAATATTGTGGCCTCACTTTTTAGAAAATATATATTTTATTACACAATTCCAGGCTAAAAATTTGATAATAATATTTTCTTGTTTTAAGTAACAGAAATCTTTCTAAAATTGATTGAGAACTCTAGCAACGCCGAATATTTTTGATTGATTAAAATCATTGTCCGGCCGATAGAGATGACGGTTCGTCCTTTAAATTCACAGCTGAGAAAGTCAGCTTGGGATTGTATGCATTGTGATCGCTGCGTGTAGGTCGTGTCGGAATATCCTTTTACTCTCGCGTTGTAACTCATAATTCTTCCCGTATATTCTCGGCGTCTATAGATGTCTTCGAGCCGATTTCGCCTACGCCACGTGCGAATTTTTCGATGCGATCGGAGAGTTAATTACAGCCCGACTTCCTGCTGGCGCTCCAGCAATTCTAACAAGGAAATTCCGGCGAGCCGCTGAAATTTCATCCCGAATTCCCGACGAATGATTTAAAAAACGCTTAATATTAATCTTTGGCTGTTATTTTCTGACTGTTACTTTTTAAGCATATATAATCTTCTTTATAATTTTGTGTGACTATTTTTCATTTTTCATTTTTCTTTCTTCTTTAATTAATCCATATATAAAAAATGTATATATCATAATAAATTAATTTATTAACATATTAAAATAAAAATATTTTTTAATTAGAATCAAAGTTATTCCGCTATAATTCGGGGTTTACGAGGAAAGAAATTCTGGCTGTTTGTGAGAAAGAAGAGTTCTGGGAATGTGTTTCGGTTAATTATTGCATCCGGTTCTGGCAGATAGCAACTCAAAGAATCTCTTTCATCGTTCGGTCATAGCGATATCTCGCAAAAACTGGCTAGATGAAACGTAAAATGTGAGAATTACACAAACAAAAATAATTAAATACATTTATTCCAAATTTATTCCAAATAATCATAGGTGAAATAAAATGCTGATATATTTCTATATAATTTGTCCATAAACGTAATATTATCATAAAATCATATATTAGAGGAAGATATTAAGATTATTTTAATTATTTTAGTTATAATTGCATCATAATTAAAAAAATAACTTGTCTTTAATTGAGGAAAGAGTAACTAATTGTAAGAGTAAATAAATTACGTTAAAATAATTTATTTTTACAAATCTTAAATACAAAATACAACGAATGACTATTATTTACTAGGATTCTTTTTTTTAAATTGCATTATTATCGATTAAATGTTTAAAATCGGATCTTTTCAGAAAAATAAATTTTGCACTTTTCTATATACTTTACTTTATTATCAAATTATTCTGGGAAAGGCGTCAAAAGTCGCGTTTTAATATAATTTCGCGTCAATCACCGTCCTCGACTCGTCATCTTGTAAAAGGCTGGAGACACGCGAACGCATTGAAGCCCCGTCTATCCGCCACACGGCAAAGTCATCGTCTCCTTCTGTTCGATCTGGTCGTTGCAGATGCTATTCCCTCATGAGTTCCCATGTGTTCCCCAATGCCCCTGGGGTCCCGGAGGCATCACCCTTCCCGTCGGGGCCACATAAGTTGACCAATCGACCACTTCTCTCTCTCTCTCTCTTTCTCTCTCTCTCTCTTTCTCGCTCCCCTCTCGGTTCTCGAACGGCCCCCTAGTCGAAGACTTCGTCTGGCGTCTGGCGGCAGTTCGGAGCGAGACGCCAACACGACATAGTATTTTCGTCCCGGACAACTCGAGCTCCGAAACGAGGCTCGTCTTGCGGCGTCTTCTTGTACATATCAGTTATCGGACGATTTCGCGAACGTGTTATCCCGAAAGGCAAAATCGTTATCCGCATGGCAAACGTTATCACAGTCCGGAGAACGTGTCGGCTGCTGATGTGGAGGTGCGCGTAAAACGGGTATTTGTGTATCCTTTCGAGCGGTGACCGGCGATCGACCTCCAGGAACGAGGCGTTTTTAACGTCTAGTTTGACCAAGTGATCGGAATGGTCACCGTCCCCGCGGGGAAAGTTCGATGAAACCAAGAAGATTGTTCGTCGAATTCGTTCGTTGAGGATTCGTCGGGTCATCGTTATCGGCGATAGTGTCTCGATTTTCGCGAAGGATAAATCGACGATTGAGAGACGCGGGGATTCACGCGTGTCTCCTACGGGCAAAGGATCGCCGAGGATCGTAAGATCCTGGTATACCGAACTCCCTTCCATATACACGTACGCACACAGTCTCCGTTCTTTCCATTCAAGGCGCGTCGCATTCATCCGCCGGCAGCAGCAGCCGGTATCACGCACACATATCTACGCATACACACACGATCCGGAGAAGAAAGCGCGTCCGGTTCGTCTTGCCACGCGTCGTTTTTCCATCGGAATATCCGCCTCCGGAGCCAGGGAAAAGCAGTATCGCCGATGCGTTTCCCCTGAGGACCAGCCGGAGATAAAGAGAGAAAGGACATCGGCTCGAGATGACGTGACGCGTCCTTATCGGAGAGGAATGCC